TTTTTTTTTTTTAACCTGTAATACGAATTCTAATATTAATAATAACATTAATATAATTATATTTCAGTAAAATATTGTATTAGAACATATCCATTTGTTTTGTGAATTTATGTCATTATATAATTATGACCAACTTATGGAATAGCAGGGTTAAGAAATGCAGAATGAATACAATACAAGACGCGGATATGTTTCTGACATCCTGTGTACACTTTAATTAAATTTGATGGGAAGACTGCAAGGATTTAATTCAGGCGCGGTTGGTTCGCGTACTCGATTTATGTAAATTAGCATAGTATAGTTAGAAGTAGACGAACGTTTCAAAGTTTCTTAATTATTCGGTAAAATCCGTAAAGTTGGCCAAACTAATTTGTATACAGACTTTAATGGCTTAGTAATTGGAACATTTAAAATGTTAAATGATTAAAATGCAACCTTAACTCAACTGCTTTAACTTTAATATGCCATTATATCTATTACATTTATCATTACGTAATTTAAAAGGATATCATCGTGATTACGTTGCGATTTTTACAAACGAACAACGTTTTAAGACGATGATTCTGGTAACTGCGGTTCGAGATAAGTCGTGCCTCGCTTTGTAACTGTCGTCAGATTCTTCTATCTTCGACAGAAATGCTGTGGGAGCCATCGTTTAGCGGGTGGAGCAAGCAAATCGGAAATGGCACCAGCAGATAAATCGTCATCACCCGAACCTCTGAAACGAGAAGCAGGAGGTGGTTGCCCACCGCCAAGCTGTAGCTACCCATCGACCCGCTATAATTCTCCTAACGTGGATTGCTCATCGACCGCTTCGTCTTGCTGCTCTTCGCAACACAGATATCCTTCTAACTACAGATATCCTTCGTCACATCGAACATCTGATTGTCAGCCCTGTGCCCTGAAATGCATCTTAAAAAAACACAATTGTTGTCAGTCTAACACGAGTAGCTACTGCCTGTGCCAACCCATACCACGCGACTGTAACTGCCCGCCACCAATTCAGGTGGACGCACGTGCTACTCACGAGTGTTCCTGCAACTGTCCATCCAGCCCGGAATGCGCCTGTCCACCTAGTGAACGAAGATTCCCAAAAGCGACGATTAAATGTCCCAACGCGCGTCTTTGCTGTCCATCTCCTCGATTACCACCCGGTCCCAAATATCATTGCTCGTGTCAATCAAGGTATCCGTCACCACCTTGCAATCCATGCACATCCTTCAAGTATCGACCACCCTTTTCAACCAAGGATTCTTGCCAACCTAACTCACCATGTCCATTCTGCTCATCTTGTCGGCCAATTTCGACAACTTCGCCTTGTCGTCCTCCGACGCCTTGCAGAAAATTGATCTTTTGCACTGAGCATAACGATCGACTCTCTTCGTCCTGTACAGGTCAGTCTTGGCGTGAGATCACTGGCGATAAAAATTCGGAAAGTAACATCTGTAACGAACAAAGTGACGATAAGGCACGAGAGACATATGTTAAAAAAGATAGCTGCGCAACGGATTGCGCTGAATCCGCGAATGAGTCCAAATACGCTGATCAAAGTAGCGATTTAATATTAGACAAAGAATCTATACAAAATTCAACGTCAAAAACATTTATTAATTTAATGGAGACCACAAATTCTTCGAAGTCTGTCGATCCTAACTCGTGTGATGTGCCGGAGCAAAGGGATGAGATCACTTTTGAAAATACAACAAAGGCTTTTGAAGCATGTACCACTGAAAAATCTTCGAAGGATTCATGGTACACTCCATGTACCCATATTCCATCTGACAGCGGTACAAAGTCCGATTGTGTATTCCGCGAGGAATATCCGGCCACTAGCGGAAACGTATCTGGGAATCCTGTTTTGACAAGATTATTGAATCGCATGAAATCATTTAATCGAGTAAGAAATTTATTAACGCCAAATAAAACGCTGCTTCGACATAACGTTACTTTTCGCGATATTCCGCAAGTGTGTGTCAGATTGTTGGCGGATGCTTCAATAAGCAAAAGCAACCCGACAGCCACATCGACACATGGAATCGACAGACGACGCAGGAATGGTGCATCTTTGAAAGAAGATACTAGTAGCTTACCTCGAGAAAATTGAGTAATACTATTGAACGTGTTTTAAAACTGCGGTCTTCTACTGTTCGCGACGATTTAATCTTCTTTCCCTAAGTCGTGTAGGAATGTTGCCAGTTTTATCACTTTGTAAATCAAGACTGCTCGCTTCTGTTACATTTTAAAATAACTAGCGACAGTAAGAATGAGAAAGTTGTGAATAAAATTCCGAGAGAATATTTATCTGTAAGATATTTATGCTATTAATACAGAAAATTAATTATTAATACGTTTAAGAGAGAGAAGAGAGAATATTTTTAAAAAATCTAATCATTTTCAAAAATCGAATTAATATCAATAAGTTCTCTTTCTCTATAAATTCCTTGTTCAAAATGATATTTTATAAAAATACATTAAAAAGGATTTTAATGTTTTATGCGAATATATCTAATGTCTAATATTTTATATTTCACACAAATTTACTTATGTGATTCATATAAAAATGGGATTAAATATCACTACAAAATTATAAGCCTTCTTAATTCCATCGATTTTAAACAACGTATTCATTTCAAATCCACAAAAAATTAATTTGTATATAAGTGTTCAAAAAGAAATAGATTTTAAGAAATCTTAGGAAATCTATTTTTGTTAATTTAATTATGTGTAAGAGACTGATGTTTACTGTACCTTATGTTGTAACCAAAGGACCAATGTGACACGTGGTGTGGTGCATCCAGTAGGTGTCAGCTGTACGTCGGAGGAAACATCGATAGCATGCGTGCAAATAAACGACAAGAAGAGCATGAGTGCATGCTGTGATGTGTTTTCTAATCTTGGTGGCATCGGCTATTCGACTCTTATTCCGAACCCGTTGGCATTAATATCCTTCGCTCTGCTGATTCTTATAGCTGTTATCTGGTCCTCCGGTTCAGCCTTTTATCATCGTTACTTATTACGCAAGAGAGTCTGCTGGAAATATCTGAGCTTATAATTACACAATGTATCCTTGTACATGTGATTAACGAGACGAAATGAAAAATAAAAAAATTTAATTTTTTCTAATAATAAATAAAAATTTTAATTTTCATCAAAATGCATAAGTAGATAGTAATAAGCAAACACTTGTATTGAAAATTTGCAATCAAAGTTAGCATGAAATATAAACTTGATCAATAACCTGTAAGCTATGTATTGTTATTAAATATAAAATTCATGGCACAATAAAAATACTCGTAAAATGTAAAGCAATATATAACGATAAATAAATGATTTATCAACGAATGTACCAAACCATGAAGAAGAGAATATTAATTTTTTATTTTATTGTATAATATTTTTCCGGCAATTTAAATCTATAAAATACATATAATTCTTATTAAATGAGAATATATATATATAGTGATTACTTTGCGGGATTTTTTAAATATACGCGGTACATAATAGTTTATCCTCCCTCATCACATCGGGAGTAACATGGCAAATGACGTTCGCGCTTTCTACCAGTCGGCGAAATGACGTGCCGGAGAGCGTTTCCGTTCACGTTTTTGACGGTGTTGGTGTTCTGTGCCACATTTCGACGAGGTGCTTCCGCTGTCGCTGGAACCATCGAAAATAAGAGTGTCACTGAGAAAGCGCAATCAGAGGGTTGCATTGAGTGCGGATATTACAGGTACACGCGATCGCAGTTAAAGTTGAATATAATCAATGACTGTAGCATAATATAATAATATAGAATGATCGCAGCTTGAAGAAAAAGTTATTTAGCAGAATATTAGAGGATATTAAGAATATTAGAGTTTCCATTTTTCTATGCATTTTTTCTTAATTTATATTATTATTTGTAATATATTATTATTTGTAAGGAGTTATAATTTAAGACAAAATAGTAATATTCAAAATATAACTCTAAAAAATACTGCTTTTTTTTTAATTATAATTATTTATAAATGAGAAAAATAAAAATAAAAATTCGATAAGCTGCCGTAATTAATATTAAAATCAATATTAAAACCTTTTTTCATTCATTGTACATAAATAGATGTCCAGAGAATCCTGGAAAATGCTTGTTGGGCTCGGTTCCTGATCCTTGTGGATGTTGTCCGGAGACTGGTTTGTGCGCCCGTCTTCTCGGTGAACCATGTTGGAACGCGAGTATTCCACTTTTATCTCCAAAAAGCCGTAATGATGGATACTGCGCAAGAAATTATCTATGCGAGTTACGCTCCGATCTACAAGAAAAGGTTTACAAAAATGCAGTTTGTTTTTACAAGCGCTAAATGAGATTTAAACGCACGATTAATTTTACTTCAATATCTAACGCGAGAAACAAAGTTTAATATCTTACAAAATCGGTTTTCTATATAACATCGCAGAGAATGTGTATGTATCGCCTTGTATTTCTGAAAATTTTCAATTTGGTTGTGTAAGCAAATTTCTAGAGTTTATTCGCTTGTTCCACTACATTCAAACATAACTGTTTGTGTTACTGATTGAGTTATTCTATTTTCGAAAAGGATTCGGTACACACCTATGTTGTCACATGCTCAACAATTGATAGATCACATGTTTGGATCGTGTACTTTTTCAGGTGTAACAATTGGCTTTCGTTCGATCTCGTCTGATTTCGTACAGTCTCGTAATGGCTGTCTAACAACTTACATGAGATTGTCGCCGATTTAACATAATCATATATATATAGATAGTCTAAAAGTCAATTTAAAGACATCACAACAATTGTTTTATTAGATACTACTTATTAATGTCTCTATTTTCAATAAATTTTATAATATGAATATAAAATAATTTATACGCTATTGCTTCTACGTATTAGATTTCTTTAAAAAAGAAAGAGTAGATTCTTTTCAAGAGCATTCGTCGTGCAAAGCTAAGAGCATGAGTCACATGAGATATTTATCACTTCTGTAAGTGATAAATTCACTTTCTCAATTAAGAACTAAGGAGACTACTCGGTCTCAATGAGCGCGGAAATAAGATATCCTGTTTTCTGGGTTAGTTTGACATAAAAATGGGAATCACGAATTGCGCAAACGATATCTAACGCAGTCTCATGTATATCATCCACTCATTGTGCTATGCTGTCAGTCGGATCTAAGCTTCAAGATTGCAGTCACCAACGACTTACGGTCGCTGACCCGCTCCGCTGGCCTTTTCGCATCTAATTTCGTCTTATCGTGCACCGTGGGCCGTGATCGCATTGTAAGAATATATGCTCACACACACGTCATGCAATCAAACAATCAGGCAGACCTTTATGATAGACACAGGCTGGATAAGAATACTTTTCGCTATATAGTCTTAAGGGATAAAAGCCGTATTAATAGCCATAGCTCTCTTAAAGCTCAAAGCTTCCGATTGACTGTATACGAATACTAATTGTTTACGTCAATAATTTAATTGCATTAAACTTATACTTTAAACTGTTTAAACAGACATTAATTATTTTGCTGGTTGAGCGAACTATCTATGAAGACAATTCGCATTAAATGTTATGTTTGTACCGTTCTGTAGAAATTCTCAGGATATAGCGAAGACGTGCTGGCGCACAAAATAGCACATTACCAACTTTAACGATTTAACTTCTCTATAGTAAAATGTGGGACAATTGTTTTGTCTCTGAATATCTAATAATAGTCATTCTTCGTAAAGTGAAAAAAAATAGTAGTAATAAGAAAATAACAGTAGCAACATCTTACAGTATAGGAAAAACATGCGTAAAATTAACAGAAACAAATAAATTTAATTTCTATACAGGATGCACCGGAGGCAGCTTGCGTCTGTATGGAACAGAGCCCAGCCTGCGGTAGCAATAACGAGACTTACTCGACGCCATGCGCGTTGCACGAAGAGGCGATGAAACTCAGGAACTCATCTTCCTTGAGATTGCAGCATCTCGGTCCTTGTGAAAGTAGACCTTGGATTCTGACAACTTTGGAAGATGTTGTCTCACCCTTTGGTCAACGCGTCGCACTTAATTGTGAGGCAAAGGGCTTCCCAGTGCCGGATATTTTTTGGGAATTTCATTCAGCTGACGGGAGAAGAGTATTGAAATTGCCGGGTAATGCAATATATAATATTAATGTTACAATAAAATATTTCACAAAATATTTACGATACATCAACTGAAATAAAATAAAATAAATTAATTAAATTGTTTTAAATATAACTGTGGGTATAATGTCGAACAAATAAAATTAAAAATTCATCCGTGTGATATAGTAGTATTCAATAACATTTAAATCTCCGTCGGCAATATGAGGTCTTTAAAGGCACTATCGATCTTTTAATCGTGAATTGTAGAGGTAGATTTAAATCTGTAAAAGATAAGTGAAATAAAATCCGACTTCTATCTGATGATAAAAACTCATTGTTAAAGCTTTGACAAGAATATTAAAATTTTTACATTTTCATATAATCCGAAGCAATAAAAAAATTGCTCTGTTTCTGAAAGACTTCTATTGCTGACATATTGGAAAAAAAGATTGGCTGCTGCAACAAATTAAATGATAAAATATGGCATAGCATTTTTAAGTGGTTGCGTTAGCCTATCGAAATCCTATACTGACATTGCGGATTAATGCAACCAAAAATTGGCTGCTGCAACCAATTAAAAATGCTATGCCATATTTTACCATCTAATTTGCTGTACACAGCAGCCAATCTTTTTTTTAGTACAGAAAAGTTAAAATTCCATGTTGTCGGCGGAGGATTAAATTTGCTTGAAACTTACTTTAGTTGCAGTGTATAATTATACAAACATAACGTATTACAGAATTTAATATAATCTGTATAGTTTTATTTATAGGAGAGGAGCATCAGGCGACCATACACACAAGCGATGGTCCAGAACCACTCATGCGAACATCTTGGATGCAATTGGCTCGGTTAGATGAGGAACATATGGGGATGTATTATTGTATTGCTAATAATTCCATAGGCGAAACAAGCACATCTTCATTCGTGTCCATGTTGTGAATGTGCTTTTATCTTGTGAGACAATCTGTCATGTAACTGCTGCGTTCACGAATGTAATGCAAAAAGGGAAACAAGTTAACTAATATGTTTGAGAAGTTTATTTTTTAACAAACAAACGCATGAAGAAATCTTCGCACAAATGATACAATTCTAAGAGTAGACTTCATAAAAATATATGAGTTAGCTTTTAGAAATTTGCTTGAGTTAGACACAAGTAAAACTTATTTTGTACGATTTATACTTTAAGCTTTTCAATATTTTTGCTAATATTAAATCCTAATGCTACATTTCTTTCTGAGTTTGCCTGCAAAAGCGAGATCATCGTTCTTCGCCTTCGTTTGTTACCAATTGCTTTGTGGTGGCGGCGGTGGACTATAAAATATAATTGCAATTATAAACAAAATTTTACAAACATAATTTTAATGAAACATGATTTTATATACGCTTTTAATATTATATTGTAATTATCCAAATATAATGTAAGAAAGTACATTAACCTTACTTACTCTGGCATCTGCCACGTTCTGTCGTCATCCATGTTGAGACTTTCTCTGAGAAAAAAATATATTTTTGTTTTTTAATCAAACATTTATTCAAAAGTTTTTTTTCTTTAAATTGTCAATTAATTGAGAATACTAACGTTCTTGTTGACAGTAGGGTAGCATCTTCTACAAAATTGGACGATTTTTTGTGTACTAATGACAAAATATGAGCTGTTGGTGTGCTAATTATCATAACAATTGCGCCTATTAACGTGGCAAACCAGAAACCATCCTAAAAGTATAGATTATATAAGACATTTATTAAAAATGAAAATTTTAATTGTTTTCAGTTATTTCTGCTATCACACATTAAATATTTGTGTTTTTTCTTGTTTTTCTTACTTATAATGAAATTATTTAATATTTAACTGATATATTCATACATTCTAAATTAATAATCATACATTCTAAATTATACATACAAGAGGGCTTAAAATGTGAGCACAAAGTAAATATCTTAATCCTTCTAGAACGTCCCACAAGGGTCGACATTTGGATATTTCCGTATCCATCTCAGAGAATACGTGAGTCCGCCATTGATCTAAATAATTCGATAGTCGATCCACATACAACTTTGTTTTCTGCACATATGATTATTGAATGATAAATTTTAATATTTATGATACTTTCTGCCTCATGAATAGAATATATGTATTTTTTAAAATAATTTGCAAAGAAGAGTTCTTGAATATCATTATTCACCAACTGAGCAATCTTCTCTCCCTGATGATCTATGTAATATTGTATCGTCCTTAAATGCGAGATCGATTGATTAACTTGACGCCAAAGAGGTTGCACCTGCAACTCTAGAACTGCAAGACGATAGACCAGATCATCCTGTAACTTCATTAGCTGTTTCACCTGTCGCAATGTCAGATCCCGCATTGTTATTCCAATGCTTTGCAGTTCCCTGGCAATACTTCGATCCTGTAGCTGACGAGATACATTGTCTAGTTGATCGGACAATGTACTTATATCTTTGCTCAGGATCGGACCTTGAATCTGTGAGCGGATAGAAAAGCAAAGATAGCAGTTGTGATAATCGGGAAATAAAAAAGATGATTTCCTGGAAAGTACGAGTATAGAAAAAAAAATGATAAAGTGGATCCTCATTTCATCTTTTTTTATACAATTTTTTATTTTTTAATTTTATTCAAGTCAACGCTATTGCAAATAATAATTTATTATTCTAAGTTTAATATAAAATACATTTGATTAAGACAATTCACAAAAAGGAAAAAAAATATTTAAATAAAAAACAATATTATGATGTAATATTTGAATGTGATGATGAAGTGCTTTTCCCTCCCATATTTTTATTAAATTTTTTTATGTTATTTTATTTTCTAAAGTTTAAACAGCTTCAATTTATAGAACATTCTTAATATATTGAGACATTATCAAATTCAAAAGTTTCTTTTCGTGAATGTATTCTCCTAATACTTTTGTGTTAATCCTATCCTCATAAATGTTTATTACGAGCACTTCTCCCTCACTTTGCAAAAGTCCTCTAGGAACTTTTTAATAAAATGGTAACCACTAAAATTTTTTTACAAAAAATTGTAACATTTCTCATTAAAAACTCGGAATTCACATTACTAACTTAGTCCAATATAAAAACACTGACAAATTTACGTTTAATTACGTTCTCGCGAAAATACAGTTATTCTAATTTATTTATCTCCTCCAAATAGAAGAATATAAGCAACTTAAAAATTAATTTAGAAATGTAAACTTGTTACTTATAAATTTAATGATGTTAAATTTGATATTAAATTTGATTCATTATTTAGGAACTAAATCATGTTAAACTTAATATTAAAATCATATTCAAAAAACTTTAATATGTTTTGTTTTAGATAAATATTAATTGTCAAAATCAAAAATCAAAAAGATCGTGCCAGTTATGACAGTAAGTATTTTGATATCTATCTCTAAAAACAAGTTAAAAACCTTTTGCAAAAAATGATATTAATTATTATAAAATTATTATAAAATACATGGAGTCTACATTATCAGGGTATCATATTATCAACTTTTCCTGTAATCTTTTTTTGCAAAATTTTGCTATTTAAAATAGCATTGTAAAAAATGGAAAAGCGTGTTAATTACATAAATAATTTTCCATATAGAGATTATAGAATATTGAAATAAATGTATATATGTGTACGTTATTACACTTAATAAATTAGCGTAGTTATGCACAGCTAAATAGACTTTAATTAGTAGTTTGCACCATAATCATGGAAACAACTCGTTGTGAAATCTGTGTCGTTTATCAAAGTATCCGTCTAGAAGTACGTAGTGATGCAGCTGCGCAATTTGTTACTTTCCTTTAATGCCTGTAGATTTTTCTTTCGAAAAAATTCTTCAAAGCCAAAGTAATCTGAAGGCTTTAATCAAGTTGTTAAAATCTAAAAATCTTGTTTTCATAAAATACAAAATCTTTGCTTTCATTTAGAAGAATATAAAAATAAAAAGTTGGAGTATATATTTAACGAGAGTGACAAATAAACATTTATAAATAAATTGTGATAAGTACCATAATTCTATGCGCGGTGAGATTCAAACCACAGGCGTATAAAAGATCCTGAAGACATTGTCGTAAATATGGCGTTAATATTTGTAGATTCTTCAAATCGACTTTGACATTTGAGATTGCTCTAGACAGCCCTGGCCATGTCCAATGTGCAGTCAAATATTCCAGTTTCATCGCATTTTCCAACCCCAAGGCGGGATAAACTGCTTCGTTGTTTCGACATTTTCTGCAAATAAATATTGGTGTTGAAAATACGCATTGTAACCGGTCGTTGTGTTATATGTTATAACCTGAAGGGATGTAATAAAAAATATAAGTATAATTTATACTGCAGTGTACAGTTAAACTATATAAAAATAAATGTTAAACTCAACGATACGATATTTTCGTTAAAATTTCTAAAACATTATTTTCCTAATCATAAAACATTATTTTCTTAATCATAAAAAATGTATTCTTATTAGAAATATGATTGACATGGATCTAAAAAATGTTTTAATCGATAACTCTTGTAACAGTATCCACTTTGTAATTTGCAGTCCCTACAATAATTTAAGATCGAATATCATGAAGCTTTATTAGATTAATTAAAAACTTACTCAAAGAGATTCTTGAGAGGAAATGCGAGCCTTCTTCCTAAAAACATTCGAGTTTCCAATACAACTTCCATAGTATGATAGTTAGGATCATATAGCGGTCGACATATTAACATTTCTGTATGACTAGCGATACCCAAAGCGATGATGAACACTACCCATAGTGTAATCGAGACGAAACAGCTTGTAGCTACACCACTGAAATCCGATCGGCACAATCAATCTGAGGATCTGTCTTATTAGATCTATACAATATCCATTAAAATGATTAAATCAAATTCTCTATTATCAGAGAGCTTAGTAAATGATAATTTATCATAATATAAATATTTATTTATATTGCAATATTCCCTTTTTACACAAACGATTACGTGGAGTGATTTGAACAACATATTGTATATAGTATTACTATTTTCTGGTTTATTAGTATATTTGGGAACAATAAATATGGATTTAACCACAATTTTCTGAAAAGAGTAAATAGAAATTAAATAAATATTAAATGGAAATATGTTAGATAGCACATTAAATTAAATAGTTTGTAATACTTCTAAAAAATGAAGTAATTAATATAACCCTTTTTTATTGTAGATTCTCGATGGACTTGCATATTTAAAAATTCGTAAAAAATAGTTATTAAAAAAGAAAGAAAACGTGTTAAACAATTACTATGCCAATAATATTGCCAACAATTCACGTTTTTCCATCATTAGAGAGTAAAAATATGTTAAGTAATTGTTCTCTGAATAGGTAAGATTAGTTGATAGAATAGAATTATAATAGATGCATATAAAAATATTATATAAAATATATTTTATAAAAATATTTAAAAATTATTATTTAATAAAGATATAA